AATCAGTATATCAATATATATTTAAAATACATTAAAATAAGATGAAGAGGTGACTAAAAAAATTCAATCATATTTATCTTTTTTTAAATAAAATTAGAATCCACAAATATATAAAATACATATATTTTTATTTATATTAATACATACATAAAGGAAGGTTCAAACAAGAACGCAAACTATTTAAGAAAACAAAAAAAAATTGTTAATGTACAAAATCACATGTGATTTTATATTAAATCGAAGATGACGATTTTTGAGGTCACTTAAGTCGCAGGGTAAAGTCGCCCAGATCATGTATGATTTGTTACGTGAATCATATATGATTTTGTACATTTTTATGTAATCCAATTATATGATGAAATTAATTGAAGAAATCTAAAGGTCTTCACTAATTTCTTAAGGTGCAACATGTGTTGGCTCTCTCCATTTTGCATTTAAAAGAAAGTCATGATTGTTGATATCAATTGCAACCGTCGATGTTCATAATTCTTGACATATAAACCGATTATGCTTATCTCTCTCCATTAATTAATCGTTCTGTTTTCTGAGGTTAGTTATGTATAATACAAACATCTTTTGAGCTTTCTTTAATTTACTTGTTTTATATGTGTTAAAACAATATATTTTAGGTTGATTTTTTTATGATATTCTTGATAGTTTTTTTTATGCCAGGATTTTTATGAGTTATCTTTTGGTTACACAAATGTTCATTGCTCAATTTATTGTTAATCCAAACAACCATACAAATTCCTTTTTACAAGAAAGCAATAAAATAAAAAATTGAAGTTAGATTTCTGCAATGCCTTAAGATTGACTCATTCTCTATTTTAAGTTTTCAAATACAGTTTTTTTGTTTCTTTCAATTGATTTTCTTACATCAATGTAAGTTAAAATATTTGAAGGAGACATATCCTTATGTGGAGTATTTTTTATTCTTGAGTTGTGTCAGATTTCTTAATATTCTCGTTGTTATTATTACTCATTTTATTTAGTTTTACAACTTTATTCCTAAACAATTCTCTCTCTCAATATATATGTGTCTGTGTTAAAATTTCACTAATTAAATTTTATTAACTTTTTCGAAATATTTGAATACTATTTGTTAATGATTCTATTAACAACTAATATATATTTATATAGACAATCTTCTTATCATAATCAAAGTATTCATGCTACCGCACATGCACGGTTTTCACACTAGTGATTTATTAATTAGACACGTGATCGTGTGAGAATAAGGGCTTGTTTGTTTTTTTTTAAAAAAACTCTTAATACCTCTCAAGTCTGAATCGGTCAGACGTTTTTATTTTCAGACCGTTTGATTTTTTTTGAAAATAAGAGTTGAAAAGCTCTTATTGTCCTCTGAATTTTTAAGTGGTAGTCTAAACTCTTAATGGGCTCTTATTCACACACCATCTCTCGTTCTCTCACTTGATTTCCAGCTACCAAATCATAACGATTTATCCCACATCATACGATCTAGACACCATATCGATCTCTCGCTCGGTCTCAAGCTACCAATCTATCCAAAACGATCTCTACAAATAGATCTCTCCTATATATGAGTTATTTTCTGAATATGATCAAACCAATGAGCAAGGGATGATGGCGACACAATTAATGCAATATGAATATTGGTTCTAGTCGTTATGAGACTTTTTTTCGTGTTTATATTGATTCAGATTTCAGACTTCAGACGTAAAAACAAACAGTCTGACTGATTCAGATTTCAGACTTCAGCACCACCTCTTATAAATCAGAAGTGAAATCAGACTTCAGACTTCAGCACCTCTTAAAAAACAAACACCACCTAAGAGTTTTCGTGATAATGATGAGAACACTTCTGAGTTTTTGTATGAGTTGATTTTTTAATCTAACTTAATGTTCAGTACATTCATCCACCTTTATTTTCAAATTTATCTTCACTGTTAAGTCTTTTTCATGAACTTTCGCATACATTCAATCACTAACATATACGTGAATTTGTTAAGCTTTCGATCATGATAATAAAAAATGTAAATAAAGATAGTTGAATACATATAAAACAATATCTTATATCTTTAAGAGTGTTTTTTTTTACTTTGAATGATGAGTAAAACGCTTAGGTTATATACTCACTATTAAAAAGATGAAAGTTGTTTGCAAGCCATCTACAATATTGTGATTGTATTGATGTATAATTGAAGAAGATTTTGTTAGGAACATCATTTTCATTGAGAACTAGAGAAACATTGATCAAGAACGTGCCACTTGTGCATATTCATAATGAATACAAACATTCATGATGAATGTTACAATATTCATCATGAATATGAACATTTAACATGCTCTCGAAGATTTTTCGATTTTTAGTACAAATAAAATTTCTAACCAAAACTTTCCTATTACTCAGGTAAGCACTTAACTATAAAATTCAACATTATCGCTTACTTACCGGTCAAAATTTTATTCACTAAAACGCATCGTATGTAACAATTTATTCCGGTAAACGCTAACCATAGTAAGAGTCATCGTTTTCACTTACTGGGTAAGACTCGAGATTCTTGCTTTCACTTTTACTAAGTAAAATTTTAACCCTTGCCATATTCATCCAGTAAAATAAAGTGACTTGATAAACCTTATCCGCATAAACATTTGGTAAATGGCTACTGAGTTATTAAACATAGTTTTCTACTTGGGACTAGAGGTGGCCAAAATTCGGTCCCGGGCCGGGCCTTAACCGGTCCCTACCGGGCCTAATCGCGACAAAAACCGGCGGTAACCGGTCCCGACATAACCGGTCCCGGTCCCGGTCCCGGTGATTTTCCTTGTAACCGGTCAAGGTTATTAGTAACCGGTTGTCCCAACCGGTCCCGGTCCCGGTCCCATAACCGGTCCCGACCGGGCCTATTCAAAAAAAAAAATGATTTTTTTTAAATTTTTGGTTATTAATAAATTTTTAATATGTTATTAATATGTTTGTAATATGATATTTTGAATATGTTTTATTATAAATACATTTTACTATAAATACGTTTTGTTATATATATATAATATATATATATATACACGTTTATAAATACGTTTTGTTATATATATATACGTTTATAAAGACGTTTTGTAATATATATATATATATACGTTTATAAATACGTTTTGTTGTAAATACGTTTAAAAATACACAATAAAAATAAGGTTTATTATATATATACGTTTCGTTGACTTTCGTTGACCGGGCCGGGCCGGGCCGGGCCTATAACCGGTTACATAACCGGTCCCGGTCTTAACCGGTCCCGGTCCCAAAAAACGTCAAAAACCCTAACCGGTTCATAACCGGCGGTCCCTCAACCGGTCCCTACCGGTCCCGGTTACATAACCGGTCCCGGTCCCAAAAAACGTCAAAAACCCTAACCGGTTCATAACCGGCGGTCCCTCAACCGGTCCCGGTCGGTCCCGGTCCCTCTCCGGTCCCGGTCCCCGTCCTCCGTCGGTTACGGGCCGGGCCGGGCCCATTTGGCCATCTCTACTTGGGACCAGAAAACATCAAACAACCTATACTACAATTGGTTTTTTCGACAATAATCATCATCTTAAATGCTTTAAATAATTTAATATTAAATTATAAAAAAAATTAGTCACCATGCCAAATGACGATAATACCCCTCTTTAAGTCACAGAGAGTCCATTACAGTTCCGCTACTAGACAAGACATCTCCACCAACAAACCATCAATTCATCCACGTACACGTGGACGTCCAGGATCACACCACTTGACAAGCTCTAGTAGGTTCTGCTCCTCAACAGTCGTCCACGTCTCCCATAATGTGGGTCCCACACATTATCACCCACTATAAAAAAATTACTCTATAAAAAAAATGGCCCAATCAGTCCTTAGACTTTAAAAAGATGTCACTTGGGACCCTTATAGAAATAGAAGTTGAAATAGATGGACCAGTTTATCGTCTACAAGTACAGTAGCTACTTCAAGCCCAAATAATTTAATCAATTCAACACAAAATTAGTTTAGACCCCCACCATTCATGTAGCTGTCCAGGTCGAGGTGCGCATCTGATTAGATAGAGGAGGGCTTTTTATTCGTTCAGGTAACCGTCTTCTTTGTCTTTCCCATTTTTGGTTTAATTGTTTGAAAAAATGTGATGATTCTGTTGATTTCCTTTTTAGGTTATTGCTTAAGTCCGTTTTTGATTCTTTTTTAACTTTCTGTAGTTATTTAATGAAATGTATAGAAAAGAAGTGATTTCAGATTAGAAATATGTTGACATCCTGTTATTATGCGTTTATATTATATAATTTGATGTTGAAATGGTTTTTGGATGATAGGGTTTTTAGACAATTTCAGATTTTGGTAATGAAAGCTGTGATAATTTCTATTGTGCCGAGAATCTGAATGAATTTGGTTGTGATTGGAATTCAGTTTGATTTAAATCAGTTTTGTGTTTGTGTATTAGGAAATTGAATTGGGATTCTATAGAGCATTTAGGGGAGAATTATGAACTTGAAGAACTTTGGAAATCAGGCAATGGAAATGGATAGCACAAGTGGCCGGCCTCCAGGCAACTTCCCGTTGGCCAGGCAAGGGTCGATCTATTCGTTGACTTTTGATGAGCTACAAAACACCATGGGTAGTATTGGTAAAGATTTTGGATCTATGAACATGGATGAGTTATTGAAGAACATTTGGAATGCAGAAGAAATGCAAACAATGGGATTTAACACCAGCACCAGTGTTCAAGATCGTGGGGGTGTTGGTGGAACAAACTTACAGAGACAAGGGTCGTTAACACTTCCAAGAACGTTAAGTCAAAAGACGGTTGATCAAGTTTGGAAGGATTTATCAAAAGAAAACAGTAACAGTTTTGGACAACCGAACTTGCCCCAAAGGCAGCAGACATTGGGAGAGATGACTCTTGAGGAGTTTCTTGTTAAAGCTGGTGTTGTCAGAGAAGAAACCCATTTAGCTGGTAAACCAAACGATAACGGGTTGTTCTCTAATTTAACAAATAACCCCGGGTTTGGTGCTATTGGATTCCAACCGGCTGTAGGTCAGAATGCTTCTGTTGATGTTATGAGAAGCAGGATCCCTGATCCTGATGGTGGTAGTAATCAAATTTCATTTCAATCTGCAAATTTACCATTGAATGGCAATGGGGTTCGGTCTGCACAAAATCAACAGCAACCATTGTTTCCGAAGCAAACCAATTTACCATATGGAGCTCCGATGGGTCTAATGAACAGTAATCATTTGGGTAGTCCTGTGATCCGAAATGGAGTTGTGGGTCTTTCTGATCCACTGATGAATGGTAATTTGGTTTCAGCTGCTACTTTACAAGGAGGGATTGGGGGTATGGTTGGGTTGGGTGGAGGTGGAGGTGGAGGTGGAGGTGGAGGTGGAGGTGGAGGTGGAGGTGGAGGTGGAGGTGGGGAGGTGACTGTTGCTGCAGGATCTCCGCCAGTTTCGTCGGACGGGATAGGAAAGAGTAATGGAGACACATCTTCTGTATCACCTGCTCCTTGTGTTTTTAATGGAGTTATGAGGGGAAGGAAAGGGAGTGCCATTGAGAAAGTTGTGGAACGGAGGCAGAGGCGAATGATAAAGAACAGAGAGTCAGCTGCCAGATCACGGGCTCGTAAGCAGGTTAATACCTATGTATTTTTGTTAATGTTTTTTATACATACGATTTTCTAAAACCTAGTGATCTTGTCGAATACTTAAAGAGTTAAATAGTGTTTTATTAGCACTATAGACTCTTACATGTTTGAATTTCCCAGTACTGAGGGTCTTCACAGAAACAACTGCTCTACTCTTGTATTTTCGCAGTATAGGTAGGTTTGCCTACATCTTACTCTCTTCATACCCCACCTCTTCATGGGATATACTGGCTTGTTTGGTTTGGTTACAATATATACCAGTTTAAACCCAAAATAATACATCACAACATGAAAGACGTCAAAATTTAATTTTTTTATCTCCTACATGAATTCATGGTCATTAAGTTGTTTTAACATCCATGGATTTGATTCATCAACCGGCTTCATGAAAGATTGGTTGTTATCTTATGCGGCAGACTGGTAATTCCTGGTGATCAAAGATTGTGAAGTTTCATATCCTGAGAAGTTATAAGGATGTCAATTCACTTGAGGTAATAAAATATATGTTTTGAGGAACATAATCAGCTGAGATTCTATAATCTTGAATTAGAATGAATGATAGCTAGCCTAGCCCATGTATCATAACTTATGGAACACAGAAATGCAAATTTGTTTAAACATATGTTGCGACCTATGTTTGTCTTCACCCAAAATGCACATTGTATTCATTTATTTCTTGGGTTTGTAGGCGTATACTATGGAACTGGAAGCGGAAGTCTCAGAACTGAAACAGAAGAATCAAGAACTGAAACGGAAACAGGTGAAAGCATATTTGATTGCGTGAGACTGTAATTTGCTTTAGTTTTATAAAGGCTATTTAATGTAACAAATATTTTTTCTATAACAAAGTTTCAAAATTTTCTATTTTGTACCCATTTTGACCGGTAAGTTGCAAATCTTGTAACATCTAAAGACGTGGATACCCATTTACGAAAGGTTTCTGAAATGCTTACGATGAAATGGACAATAAACTTGACATCTGTGGCATCTAATGTTATAAAATCAACAGGTCATTGATCAAAATATGTAAAAAGATTAGGTAAATTTGGAACTATGTTACATTACAATAGGAAATCATGAAACAAATAAAAGAAGTCTTTGTTATATTAATAAGAATTTGGTTACATTTTATAAATTACTAGGACTTTGGATTGACATAACTCTAATGGTGCAGGCAGACATGATGGAAATGCAGAAGAATCAGGTATGCTTTTATATCCTTCATTGTGCATGTTGTTTAATATGTGGTGGTGGTGTTGTGGATTGAAAGATGTAATGGAAATTATGGAATGTTGGTAGCAGGTTATGGAGATGATGAATATGCAACCTGGAACAAAACGACAGCGTTTGAGGAAGACAGTTTCTGGTCCATGGTGAATGGTGGATCTGATGTGATGATGATGATGATGATGATCTAATAGCATTCATGCTTCTGTTTCTGTAAAAGTTAAAATGGTATATGTTCTCCATTTAAGGTGAGTGAGTTACAGAGGCATTTAGGTATATAGAATTATCCCTTTTGATATATGATATTACATTATAGGTTGTGAAAGAAAGAAAGAAAAAAAGGCATTTGTTTAGGATATATGATGCTTCTTTATCTTGCTTTGTGATTGTGAATGCTATTTATTATAGATTACATGCTATAAAAACTAATGACACCACACAATGGTCCATATTAACAACCTATTTTTCAAACCATTTTAATTTTCACAAATTTTTTTCATTTTAAATGATTAACTTCTTAGAGTAATAAATAAATGATTAACCTTTTCCGCTTTGAATGGTTAAGTTTTAATAAAAATTGAATAAACAAGTCTTTTAACTTTTAGAAATTCGTTACCTGCAAGTTTTTTTAACCCTAAAAAGCAACTGTTAAGTGTCAAAGAAGTTTTAAAGTAAAATAAATTTTAAATCAGTTTAACGTTTTCAATCTTTAAGCCATTGAAATTTAAAAACCAACATTGTTTTCGGTATGCTCTTGGCTTGAAAGTTTTACTTCTCAACTTTATGAACTTACAGTTGGTGCTATTTTTGTGTAGGTTTCAATAAACTTAAAGGGTTTGATTTCTAGGTTTTATGATGCCTTTTATGATTTATATGACATTTTTTTATTAATATTCAGACCTACTGTAGTTAAACGATTATCCACATCATATATAGAGTGTTTCAGGTTAGATTTTGTATTCAGTATAATGCATATGATGTTTGATGCTCGTGATTGGATGTTTAAACTACAAATCAATGCTGGTTTGTTTCATTACAAGAATGATCGGGTGGTAATGGTTGAAAAATGGGGGTTTTACCACTGCGATTCGAGAACCTCGATCTCTTTCTTCTTCGAATGGGCCAAAATCCCATTTCACGCTCCAAAGATAGCCATTCACACTCTTGTTCTTCTTCTTTCAAGAGCCTGTAAATTTCCACCTCCAACGTTGTTCATCATCCCTAAAATCGAATAATGCCCCCAACTTTCTGTAATTGCTGATTATAATGTTGCTGGTTGATTACAATTGTGGAGATGGTAATTTAGATGCATGAATGCCTACTGGTATATTAGTTGGCGTCTCAGCAAAAAAACGCTATGTAATGTTCTGAAGTCTTAGAATTATTTGTGATATTTAACTTCCTCGGGTAAATATTAACTTTTGCAATACAGATAAGAGTAAAAAATGTTGTAATGAAACTAAGAAAGAATTTATGTGATATTTTATTTGTTGATTGGTATCATTATTTCAATTTTTTCATATAATAGTAAGATTTATTGTGCTCTTGGCTAACCTCAATGCTTGATCCATTTTGGGCAGATTGTTGTTTACCGATTCAGAAGGACTTTTGGTATTGATATTTGTGGCTTGTATTAAGAAAGCTGGAAAATCATTGCATTTTTTCTCTAAGGTTAATAAGATTTCAAGAATTTGGAGGTTGATTCCCATATTTGGAATGGAAACAATATAAATCTACTTAATTACTTTGATTTCTTATGTAAGAATCCAATTATTATTTGTCATTTTCATCTCATAGTTATAATATAACTGCTTTGGAAATGTGCGCACAAAATTTCAGGGACCGCTTACTAAATACTTATCTTGGTAAGCGCTTATTAATTCAATTATCTTACTTACCTGGTGAACATAATAAAGACTGAGAATCTTAACCCGGTAAGAGGGTAGGGAAGGATCGATAGTCTTATTTGGTAAGTGAGAGTGATAACTTTTATCCGGTTATAAATCCTTACCATCATTCCATTTTGATGGCTGAGAATGTTACCTCATAAAGTAAATGAGGTGACTCTTGTTGGTAAGTGCTTACCCGTTAAACGTTTGATAAACAACCCCTCATGAGTGACATTTTATACTTCATGTGAACGTTTTGATATTTCCTGTAGATAACACAATATCTATTTTATACTAAATAGACTGTTTCCAGGTGATTTCAAACTGCTTACACACACACATATATAGTTTTTCTCTTGTCTCCATGTAAATACCAATATTTCTTTTGATAACACAATATCTATTTTATATTAAATAGACTGGAATTCCCTGGACGCTATCGAGCATGGTGAGAGGCCAATGAACTTTAAAAGGCTAACACTTTGCAGACATCAAGATTGACATCAATAAAATCCAAAGAAGAAAACTTTGGTCAATATCTTGGAGGCTGAATTTTGATTATTAAACAAAAAAGAAAAGAGGTTATTGAGGAAGAAAGTTTATCGTGCAGAAGAAGTCAGAAAATATATGATTTTGACGAGTTCGAGATCATGCATGTTGTCCAATATGACATTCTGTAGATGCAATAAATTGCTTAAACTCACAGAGTAATTTCAACATTTAACATATCATGTCTTTTACATACTTTTATTTAAAATAAGTCTACCTTATAGTTTTTTATTTCTTGAAAAGTTTGATATTATGATAATTAATAAATCCTCATATTCTTTCGAGATTTAAGATGAATTATTTTCTTTAAATAAACTATATGGAATGAATGATTTTTATAGGATTAAACTTTCATAGTTTTACTTGCAAACAACTCCATAATTTAGAGGTAATTAAACATTCTATAAATAATTGTACTAATTTTTCATTCTCAGTTTACAAGAAAGTTTGCAGTCCGCTGCATTGTAGCGGGTATATAACTAATCATTTAAAATATAAAAATTTAACACTTTTCAATTTAAGTACATAAAATAAATTTATAAAATTGGAGTTTTCTGCTGTTAAGATTTGGAATTTCAGAGTTTGTATCCATATTATACAATTACAAGAAATTTCAGGATTCGATTCATTTTAGGCATTAAACTGAGGAAAGTTGTAAAAAATTTAGGTATTTATTCATATATTTAATATAAATTAATTAAAAATAACTATAAATAATTAATTACGGATTTACATACATTCATTTTCATTAAAATAAATTGTACATTTTATTTTACTATAAATAGTAGGTAAATTTACATTTATAGTAGTTTTTCTGGTATTTTCTTTTCTTGATATAAATAAGGGGCTGTTTGGCAGTTGCTGAATGGTTTAGTGCAGAATAGTTAAAAGGTCAAAATGGTTAAGAGGGTCAGAATGATTAAGTACTGAATGAAATAATGTTGTTTGGTAATTGTTCTCTGAATAATAGTAAATTACCATTTTAACCCTTATCCAACAAAAACCCATCTCCCTTCGGCTTCCATTAATCCAACCCTAGAATCATCTAACCATCTCCCACGCCATCGACGACCCCAGCCAAGTGAAGGCAGAAGGGAAACGGCCAGCCAAGTGAAGAAGAAGGTGGCGACGGCGATGGTGAAGGCAGATGAGTAGCGAGGGGCTGTGCGACCGGCGACGAGAGGGTGGGGGAGG